ACATAAACACTGAATATAAACTCAAAGCCAGAATTTATTCCCATTTGAAAAAAAAAAAATTGCATACATTTTTTTTTCGTGATCAGTTAGATGTTAGATTAAATGGAGGTTATTATTTCATTACTGCAACATTTAGGTTGAGGTTAATCAGCAACGCATGGAATAAGAATCTATGGAATAAGACTCAAGTTTCAGTCTAAGCATATTTAATGTTCTAATAATGCTGTTTAACAAGGTTGCCTCGCCACGCAGACCCAGGGCTGGTTGGCCTTTCTTTGCAATAAGAGGACAGTGTTAAAAAAATTGATTTAAAGGGTTTTTATCAGTGCTGTAACTAACTCATATTCATTCCTTCATTCCATAGTTAGGCTGAAACACCTCAAACCCAAAATCAGGAAAAAAAAACTTGGATTTTGGTCAGATGTTTTGAAATACACCAATAAGTTATTTCCTTAGCTTTTTGTTTTGTTTTTTCGAGTTTTTACGGCACTAGTGGCTCGTTGTTTGAACAGAAAATGGGGAATTAGAGAGAGAGAGGTGCGGCACTGAGTTTAAAATGAATCTGGGCTCTAAATAATATAAAAGCCCATTTTATGTTACCTACAGTACCATGTTTCTTGGATTTAAACTGGAACACCAAAAGAAAATTGAAATCTAAATAAATATTTTTTTCTTGAATTGAGGAGGTAAGTCAGACTATTTGCAAATTGAACAAAATTTCAAAAAACTTTAAAAAAACAATCCACTGGACTTAAGTTTGAAGATGTTCCACTTTCCATCCAGGAAGCTTTTTCAATTCAAAATGTCAGAGATAGAGTGGACCAATTGAGCCTTGTTTTGGCTTAGAAAAAGGACATTCTTTTGAGGACCAGAATGTTCATATTTTGGACAAAGAAGACAGGTGGTTTGAGAGGGGCGTGAAGGAAGCCATCAATGTTAAGAAAGAAAAACCAACCTTAAACAGAGGTGGGGACTCAGGTTTCAGCTTTCATACAGCTACAATGCAGCGATAGAGTTGATTCCATCCCGCTATCATTGCAGACCCAACCTCTTTACAGGAGAACAGAAGACCTCACCTATTCATCGAGGCCAACAATTCCCTTTAACGACCCCCCCTTTCAGAGACATAGACAGGTATGGGGCATTGCAGACTAACAAATAAGCCAAATGACCCCCATTCCAAAGGGGTGGACCCGTTCGTCTCTTTCTATTTGCATGTTTTTTAAGCAAAAACAAGACTTTGTTGGGCTGCTCTATAAAGCCTGGAACTCAACACTATTTCTGACATTTTGAACTGTAAAAGCTTCCTGGATGGAAGAGAAACGTCTTCAAACTTCGAAACAGAGTCCGGTGGATTATTTTTAGACGTTTATGACCTGGTTGACTGAGAGTGTTCACCAGCATAATGGAACAAAACAATTTATATTTACAATATGAAAAAAACAATGGCATTGTATAATTTCAAGGGCATATTATCTAATTCTCTTATTTGAAGAGTAAAAATACTCATCCCATTGGCAAATTGTATTTGCCTCCTCAAATTAAGGTTTAAAACAATTAATTTACCTTTTTTTTTTTTTTTTTTTTTATTTTTTT